CTCTCTCTTTCTCTGCGTCTATCTCCCTCTTCGTGAATCTCGCGTGTCCTCTTCGTCGTCGTCCCGCGCAATACAATACGCATCGAACATTTTTTAACAGCTCGATCCGACTCGATCGTCTCGTGTAAATGCCGTATATAACAAAATGTTGTTCTATATAGCTCGAAGAGACGATCGAGAGAAGACATCGTAATTCTCGGGTCGTTGTAGTGGGCTCGACGAGCGAGAGAGAGAGTGATGCATGTATGCAGAATAAGGCAGCCACGGTATATATACACAATATTATGTACAATTGAGCAATTAAGGCGAGGGCTTCTCGTGCCTGCCGCATGCCGTACATATACGAGCTATATATCGCTTATATGTGCATGCGCAGTGGTACACACGGTGCAGTGACTTTTACACATTATCATATATTGCATAATGTGGGACAGTACCAAGCGGTATTTGCGCAGCAGTGCAGGCGCGCACGAATAGAGTTGTGTGCTGTTGCTGCTGCTGCCAGCCTCGTCAACGTTACGCCCCGCTTTTGACAACGTGTATACTTTATATGTAATAGGCTGCATGGTGTAGCATAGAATTAATTAAATTTTGCCATTTTTCCGTCGCGATCATTGGTCAATCTAATTGTTGGCTGTCACTCGTGCGTGTGCACTCGAATTTTCGAGTGCTTCAATACCGAATTCAGTAAATGTCGTTATCCTCGAAATCTTAAACTCGTATATAACTAAACGTTCGCGAACGAGCTTATTTGGCACGGCCGTACATCTACTTTCGAGCTATTACTCAATGATGACAGGAGTCGCGTGACGAAGTAATGGGATATTTGCCATTGAGACTCTTTATGATTGCGAGCGAAAATAATTCACGACGACCGCTCGATCGAATGATAAACTCATTGCGGTACATTACGGAACACGATCCGAATGTAACCACGGGATGTAAGAGTAAAGCCAAAACAATTGTCGTTGGCTAAGGGAATGTTTACTTCGTTAAAACCATATTTTGACTTATACAAATGTGTTGACTTAGTCACTAGTAGATTCATTGATTTTGAGGTACTCGCCATCTAGCGGCAGAGGTGCAAATTAAGTTTTAGCGTATTTAAAGCGTTTGAATATCCATCCAAATTTTTTGAAACTGTTAAATTGTCACTTTCAGGTCATTGATAATACGCTTAATATTTTTAACGCAATTGTAACAAATTACTAATGAGTATTGTAAAAAGTTTTAAATGGTCATCTTATGACCGTTAGTCCATTATCAACGTTGAGCATTTCTCCCGTGCTTAAAACGCGTTTATATTTTATAATCGATAAGAGACGAGCGTGCGTCACTTTCCGTCCTTTCGTCAGCGCTCGCGACTCCGCGACTACAAACTCGTCGGGCAAAATTTCATTCACGCACAAAGCGAGCGGATAAAAAAATTAAAACAAGTCGTATTTATTTTTAATACCCCGAGCGATAAATATATCGAGGATTAAAAGCTTGCCCAAAAATATAACGTCTTATACACGCGAGCACAAATTTATATTGTATATAGCACGCGGGTACGCATTAAACGCGCGAAGCTGCTAATCAAGGAGTACAAGGCGCACAAAGAAATCCCATGAGCGCGTGTAATAAAATATATAATATTAATACACGAGTGCGAAGCGCGTTTGTATATATATAAGCAGTGTCAAAGAGTGATAAACGCACGCGGGGCTTAAATATATAGCAGCGGCGGCAGCAGAGGAGGTGCACGCACGTATTATATAGTTTTAGTACCTTGTAATATTACGCCGAGGCCCTCCCGAAAAATGTCCTTTATCATCGGGACACAGAGAGACTTGAGATCCCCTCGACGTAGAGGGAGAGATAAAACCCATCGATAATAATAATAATAATAATAATAATGATAATAAATGAATGGATTGACGCCCGTCGCGTAAACCTCGTAAAAGTTAGTTATTAATTTTTTTTATTCAAGCTCTCGAGTGGCCACGGTGATTCATGTTCGTTGGCGAATTTATCGCGGCGAGGATTTTTTATTTTTTTCAACTCATCTCACGCGTCGCACACTTGCTCGAGAGCAAAGACCATATGTATACAAAAATCGCATGAATCACCGCGCGCATCGTGTATACAGTGGCGTCGCGGGCACAGGTTATATACGCGCTGAGGCATTTAAACTTGCCGATTATCAACGAAGCGGCAGCAGCAGCGGCGATCGTCGTTTTGCGCGTTTTAAAGTTTAAGCTAAGTGAATATACGGCACACGTGTATATTATAATAAATGTACGATGTGTGCGTCCGATATTGAACGGGCACGACGCAATCGTTTTGCGGCTCTCGCGAAAAATTTTTGCGCCTCTCGCTTAATGCTCGAGCGCGATTATTACACGGGTATTCTGTATATATGTTATATTTTGTGCGCACACACACACACACACACACACACACACACACACATCAGCGCGTACTCATTCGTGTTTATCCACGACGACGAGCGATAATAAACAAAACGATAGAATAAGAGAAAAGAGAGATTTGCAGCGAGTATATATATAATATAAAACGAATTGCGCTTCTCGGAACGAATTTAAACGTCGAGCTGTCCGGCTTATACTGATCGCTGTATATACGCGTATAGTACGAAGAGCGAAGTGTTTACGCGCGTACATCGTTATATGGTGCCGCGCGTCCAATATAACGTCGACGGGTGTAGGAATTTTTGCCGATCGCGACCCCTGAATTACCGTACATACATGTGTCAAGTATACCGTCAATGAAAATTCCATCAATCCGCAAAGTATACTCATTTTTTGTTTTCATTGAAACATCGCCGAGATCGTTAATCATAATATTAGCACGGCAGATCGGGCAAAGAGTTGTCAAAACAATACAAGGAGCCATTGAACTTGGCGGGATCGAGGTACACGCGTAATATCATCAATATCCACCTGCGTACACCGCATCACAAATAGTTCCAAATTAGCGTGTGAAACGATCCTATAACTGTCTCGTATTATTACACGTTCGTTTCAAATGTCTTTCATCGGTAAAGTATATATTTTCATAGCGAAATTCTCGATACAAACCGTAAATATGTAATCTATTATAGTGGGCACGACAGCAAAATAGTTAGAGAAAGTCGAGCACCAACGTGACGCGATATTATAACGAATCTGGGATAGCTAAATGCACATTTTTCAAAAAATGATGTGTAGTTTCATTTGTAAAAGCTGTTCTTGCAATACTTATCATTAGATACTAGAGCTGATTTATCCATTTTCGTTGGAATGTAAGCGAGACGTAAAGAGCAATCTTGATAAATTCGTTTTGTCGTGGAACGACGTTTATCGTAAACAAAAGCGTCACATTCGTTTATGAGTTTTTTTGCTTTCATCAATAGATGGAGCATTGTAAACTCGCAAGTAGTGAAGAACGTGTCGTACAGTATATAATATACAAAACATTTTCAAAGCCTCAAATTTCCTTCTATACATTTTTGCTGACGGACGGCATTTTAATAACCGAGTCCGAACGATATTATCGGTTATATAAATTGAAATATACGACCATACCCATACGCAAGCCCCTCTCGATGGTGCGTCTATATATCCACTATAAACTGGGGTGCGAAACACGATCCTCGCGTTTCCTCCCACTTCTGACGCGCGCGCAATTCGTTTTCGAACGATGATATCGCTTGCGCGCGCGCGCGACTTTCCGATAGAAGTGAATGACAAAAAAAAAATAAATTAAAAGGACGGTCGGGTGTACACGCCTTTCGCGTGCAATAATATAAACGTTAAACTTAGATTCAAGATGTACCGCCGCTGCCTGCATCGAGTAAGCGTTATTATATCGCATCGAGCGAGGGTGCGATACGATACACGTCGTTCACCTGCCGATCGCGTACATTAGTTGTAGTAATGTAACCCCCCGCCCCCTCTTAATCGGCAATGCACCGCCTCGCGACGTCACGCCGCTATACGCCCGTGATATATATCCGTACCTATATTATAATAGGCGCGAAAGTTCACTACGTATACAGGTATAACACATAGGCAGCATAATAGGCGTGCACAAGCCATATACAAGTATTATGGTTCAACCAAAGTGTCAGGTGTCAGGTGGCAAAATGAACAAAACTCACTTGAAAGTTAATGATTGATTAATTTTAATTAACAAAGGTAGAAGAATAACAGTGAAAGTAATAAAAGGCTGGTTCGCAGCTTGCTGCCTTATCTCAGAGCGTCTGCCGCTTGCGGCCTTGCTCATCGCTCGCTCGAGCCTATCTGACCGTCGCGTATGCCGTCGGGCCTGAGGCCACCGCGCGAGGCGCCACTGGCGGGCAGCGCGTGCAACGCGTACACACACACATACGTGCGAGCTGAGGCTGTGTTATGCGAATCCATAACACAAGCGTGTGCATAAGCAGATACAGCAACAGGTGTCGCCGCTCGCGAGAGACGCCGACCTGTCTGTCTGTGTTGTGCTGCTGCCCCTCGACTTTACAGAGCGGCGGTCCCTCGTGCTCGTGTGTGTATACAAGACGGGACGTGTAAAGCTCGATGTAACATAACGCAAACTGCTCGGCGTGCGCCGATCGATCGACCGATCGTTCGATCCTCGGTCCCGAGACGCGTTTTTCACCTTGTGAATGGAGCACTTAAAGAAGGAAAGTTATTGGATAAAAAATTGCTTAAAATTGATGAAAAAAATACACTTGAATTTTATCGGACTTTTTGGATCGATTTTTGGATTATTTGAAAATAGGCCATATTGTTTTTATTTATCCTTGCAATCGCTTACAATGGAATGACTAGGCAAGCTACCAGTATGCTCGCTACAGTACTGTAGCGATTATTATATTATTATTATATTATATTAATTAAATAATATAATAAAAGTTATATTAACTTATTATAGTTATTTAATTACGATATAATAATAATAAAAATATTATAAACAAAGTATATACAATATGAACATATTTTGAAAAACATAAATTTATCTCTGGGGTATTTTCTTCACATTTCGTCAAACCTCGCAACACAACGATGCTTGCGATGATTTCCAGGATACCAATCGCATATATTACATAATTTTATGATCGTCCTATGCGCGCGGCAGCTCCGGTGCAAATTCGCACCTGTGTCAAACGTTTTTCACTGTGGTATAAGAAAACGCCATGGTTATTTAGAGTATACATTTGAATGACTTTTTCGATATTCGATTCTCCGTTCGATAAAAACATTTTTTTCTACTTAAAAATAAAATTCTATCAATTAAGATGTATCGATAGAAGACAAATATGTCAGTAGCTAAATTTAAAGTCATACGCTGATTCGATTGCAAGTTCGAGAGATTCTCTTAAAGTATCAGAACTCAAAGAGGCGGCAACTTCTTCGTATACATCATTCGTGAAATCTTTTAGATCTTCTTCCGATGTGACTTCAGTTTTTTGATCTAATAATGAAAAAAATTCAACAGTCATCACATCATCCTGAACTTGTGTAATTTTCGCTGGCCAGAAATTTGAATCAGACATTCTCGCCATCACCACGTCGTTAGGAGCGTAACGGGAAAGAAATCCCTGGTTTACTGAAGGAGACGATACTACTGGAGGAGGGTCAACATTTACCGATGGTACATCTTGCATAGATGGAAGGGTCAGCTCGCCAATCGTAGGCAAATTTTCAGCTTGTTCATCGATGAAATCCGAAATACCATGTGGTAGTCTAGCTACAAGTTGATCGATAAGACAGGAATTTGAATTTTCTGGTGACACAACTGATGAAGTTGATGGTTGTTCTTCCATTAAATTTATAATATTTGTTGGAGATTTATCTTCATTACTTTTACTAAAAATTAAATTAAGTTTTCGAGTATAAAATTGGATGAAACATTTCTAAAGTAATTACTCACATTGATCCCGGGTTTAGTGGTATTGATACTTTTGAAAAAAGATTATTCGTTGACGCATTTGGCGTAGATGATGACAAGTGCTCGTCATCACAGAGCAAGAGTATTGGATAATTATATTCAGTTAGATCAACCATACTTGTTGAAGGAAGGTAAATCTTTACCGTTGGCACATCTGGCTCAGGTGAACGGGACTGCTCGTCATCGAAGGGCACATTTATTGAATGATCCTCGATTGGATCATTCATATTTGTTGACTGTTCATCTTGATTACTTATACTAAAAATTAAATAAAATTTTCAGGAATAAAATTGGATGAAACATTTTTAAAGTAATTACTCACATTAATTCCTGGTCTACCGGTATCGATACCACTGCAGGAGGGACAACATTTAACGATGGCACATCTGGCGGAGGTGAACGAGGCTGCTCGTCATCGAAGGTCACATTTATTGAATGATCCTCGATTGGATCATTCATATTTGTTGACTGTTCATCTTGATTACTTATACTAAAAATTAAATAAAATTTTCAGGAATAAAATTGGATGAAACATTTTTAAAGTAATTACTCACATTAATTCCTGGTCTACCGGTATCGATACCACTGAAGGAGGGACAACATTTAACGATGGCACATCTGGCGGAGGTGAACGAGGCTGCTCGTCATCGATGGGCATATTTATTAAATGATCCTCGATTGGATCATTCATATTTTTTGACTGTTCATCTTGATTACTTAAGCTGAAAATTTAGTTAATTTTTCGAGTATAAAATTGAATTAGGCATTTTTAAAGTAATTACTCACATTAATTCCTGGTCTTCTGGTATCGATGCCCCTGAAGGAGGGTCAACTATTATCGATGGTATATTTGGATGTATAATCTCGATCATAGGTGGATTGGGCTGCTCGTTATTGATGGGCACATTTATTGAATGATCCTCGATTGGATCATTCATATTTGTTGACTGTTCATCTTGATTACTCATACTGAAAATTAAATTAAATTATCGAGTATAAACTTGGATGAGAAACTTTTAAAGTAATTACTCACATTAATTCCTGGTCTACCGGTATCGATACCAATGAAGTAGGGTCAACATTTAACGATGACATATTTGGCATAGGTGGATGGGGCTGCTCGGCATCGTAAGGCACATTTATGACATAATACTTGGGTGGCTCATTCATATTTGTTGACTGTCCATCTTGATTACTTATACTGAACATTAAATTAAATTTTCGTTTATAAACTTGGATGAGAAATTTCCAAAGTAATTACTCACATTAATTCCTGGTCTACCGATATCGATGCCAATGAAGTAGGGTCAACATTTAACGATGACATATTTGGCATAGGTGTATGGGGCTGCTCGGCATCGTAGGGCACATTTATTGTATAACACTCGATTGGATCATTCATATTTATTAACTGTCCATCTTGATTACTCATACTGAAAATTATATTAAATTTTCGAGGATAAACTTGGATGAGAAATTTCCAAAGTAATTACTCACATTAATTCCTGGTCTACCGGTATCGATACCAATGAAGTAGGGTCAACATTTAACGATGACATATTTGGCATAGGTGGATGGGGCTGCTCGGCATCGTAAGGCACATTTATTACATAATACTTGGGTGGATCATTCATATTTGTTGACTGTCCATCTTGATTACTTATACTGAAAATTTTCGAGTATAAAATTTGATGAGACACTTTTAGTGTAATTACTCACATTAATTCCTGGTCTGCCGGTATCGATACCAATGAAGTAGGGTCAACATTTAACGATGGTATATCTGGATATGTAATCTCGATCATAGGTTGATTGGGCTGCTCGTTATTGATGGGCACATTTATTGTATGATACTCGATTGGTTTTAACATATTTGTTGACTGTTCATCTTGATTACTTATACTAAAAATTAAATAAAATTTTCAGGAATAAAATTGGAGGAAACATTTTTAAAGTAATTACTCACATTAATTCCTGGTCTACCGGTATCGATACTAATGAAGTAGGGTCAACATTTAACGATGGTATATCTGGATATGTAATCTCGATCATAGGTGGATTGGGCTGCTCGTTATTGATTGGCACATTTATTGTTCGATACTCGATTGGTTTCAACATATTTGTTGACTGTTCATCTTGATTACTTATACTAAAAATTAAATAAAATTTTCAGGAATAAAATTGGATGAAACATTTTTAAAGTAATTACTCACATTAATTCCTGGTCTTCTGGTATCGATGTCCCTGAAGGAGGGTCAACATTTATCGATGGTATATTTGGATGTATAATCTCGATCATAGGTGGATTGGGCTGCTCGTTATTGACGGGCACATTTATTGTATGATACTCGATTGGTTCCATCATATTGGTTGAAAGTTCATGCTCATTACTTTTACTGAAAATTTAGTTAATTTTTCGAGTACAAAATTGAATTAGGCATTTTTAAAGTAATTACTCACATTAATTTAATCGAAGTTTTTTTTATATACTCCATCTCTTCATAATCGATTTTGATTTCTTCTAAATACGGTCTTATTGAGTCTAAACATTTCTGTGTACATTGAAAAAAAGATGCAGCTGATTTAACTATGGCTGGATCGAGTTGATCTTCTTCTGGTATATCACAAAGTTCTTTGTATAATTCAGTGACCTTTTGGTAGTCGCCATCATAAATCTTTTTATATTCTTCATTACTTTTTCCAGGATATAGGACACGTTCAACACATGCGATGGCCAATATGCCATAATTTATTCGGTACAGATTAGCTGCCTTCCACATATCGATTCTAGAAGTGAGAAATATTTGAAAAGGTTCTAATTGTTTTTTCGAAGGTTCATCTTTGATGAATTTTTTCATTCCCTCGCGTAGTATTGCAGTTAATTTTTCTTTTTCCGTTAAATTTTCTTTTTCAATATTATTTTCCTTTAAATATTTCACCAAATCAATGATAACATGTGCCTTGGATTTATTTTGGAAATATTCTTGATTTATTGTACATTTTCGCACTCGTTTAGTCTTAATGGTTACAGTATTATCACTTATTTGTAATGGAACAGTATCAATAGTTTCAGTATCATTACTTTTTCGTGATGGAATAGTGTTAATAGTTTCAGTATCATTATTTTCTTTTGGTGGAAGAGTATCAATAGTTTTAGTATCATTTCTTCTTTGTAATGGATGATGGTTAATAGTTTCAGTATTATCACTGAAAATAAAATTAAATATTTGAGTATATAATCGCATGTGACACTTTTAAAATATTTACTCACATCAATAGAATCGATGTATTTCTTATGTATATCTTCTCTTCATCATTGATGTCAATGGTATTCAAATACGATCTTATTTCGTCCAAGAATCCAACTTTTGTTGAAAACTCAGGGCATCGAAAAAAAGATTTAGCCGATTGAACTATGTCAGGATTGAGATTACCTTTTTTCTTGATACCACACAGACTTAACAGTTTTTTATACAACCTCTCCGCCGAACGTGTGTCGCAACGATAAATCTTCATCAATTTCTCATTATCTATGTTGAGGTCTAGGACATGTTCAACGCATGCCACGAGTAATACACCATGATTTATTCGATACAGATTAGTTGTCATCCAATCGTTCATTTTAAAATTAAGAAGGGTTCTTTTGAACTCATCTACTTCAAAATCCTGAAGTTTTGCCTTCTCAGTCGTTTTCATCCCGTGATGTAGTATAAGCTTCACAGTTCCGTCAATTTTTAAATGATGGTCTTGAACTTGTTTTTTCTTTAAGAATTCTACCAATGTTATAAGATCAACTGCGCCAATTTTGTCACGGAGATATTCCATGGTAATTAAAGGTCGGGCCATTTTTTTACTTGTGTCAAATACTCTGATACAGTTTAAACGTTATATTTAAAAATATTGGACGTTATATTTTGAATAGATTAATTAATGTTACAATTGAACGTGTGAGACGTTCGAGAATGATCACGGTTCTGTCAACACTAACAGTCACACAAATTTAAACTTTGCTCCAGATCAACATTGTATTTCGGCGCTTACACACACTAGAATATAAACACATCAGTCGAAGAATACATATGCCAAAACATATTTTCCACGTTCCCCTTGGTCTATATTATAAATTGTTATAAGTTTAACAATTTAATTTATAACGAAATTTTTGATTAATTAAGAATCTCGCCTCTCGATCCACGGGCAAAATTGCCTAGTCTCAAGCATGGTCGAGCTCTCTTTAGACGCTCTGAAAATTTTCCTCGTAAAGCAACTAGGTTTACAATAATTTTTCGTGGGACTCGCGGCCGATGTCAAAACCACATCATCGATTGTCCAGATAAATTGCATAGACTCGATTTTCTACACTCATGTGATCGTTTTAAAGCTCAAAAACGATTTCGAGTAGTAGGGCCAACATATCTCTGGACTGAAGATCGTCTCAACGACTTTGCGCGTTTATGCACGAGATCTTGTTCTTTTCTTTTTCCCTTATCCATTGGCGATCGGTGAGCTGTTCCGATGCGCATAATATTGTACGACGTTGTTTTTGTTGTCGATGCCGATCAGGTACGTGAGATTTGAGCTTTGTATAAGACGGCGGTGACAAGCTTCCATTCCGCAAGGAAATTTCGGCGCGACAGGTCGGACTCACGCACCATACGGAATACCTTTTGTGTACGAAATTTTACATACAAACTTTCTCGTGTCGTCCTCGCGACATTTCGACGGCGACGCGTGTCTGCACACGTCTGCCGCCGCACCGAGAGCAAGTACACAGGACTTCAAATGTATTATAAAAAAAAAAAAAAAAAATCCGGGCGAGAGAATTTTTCGGCCTGTGCATTAGTATGCGCGAGACGCGAAAAACTATTACGTATTTCAAATGAGCGATACGTGACCGTCTCGTGGCGTTGTGTGCGCACGCTCGACTACCTGTAATACCTTTTAACTTCTTTTTTTCTCCTCTTTCTTTCACTCAGAAATTCCGTAATCGCGTGGCTAGCGATGAATAATATATAATACACACATACGCATACGTGTGTGTGCGCGCGAGATAGCTTCGCGAGAGCTGCCCAGTCCATTAAGACCTCCGAGGCGCTAAAAGTTTCGATTTATATTATGATATACCGCGAATGATCGATTCTAACGTGAGATATATCTCGCGTGAGAGAAATATTTCAGCAACCGATCCTGTATACATACGTACGGCGCTTCCGCTCTCGCGTTTTATACGTTAATATCGAGCTTTTAAGTATGTATATTCGATTGAAAAATCGAACCGTATTTACGCATACGTAATGATACGAACTCGATCATGCGTGTGCGATACCAGTTAGATTAATGGCCAATTCGAGGGACACACATTTGATCCATTACCGCTGCTGCTGAAATCCAAAGCGCTACCAGTTTATAACAGGACACAAAAAATAAAAGTGTACATAAGTATAGTCGCGCTGTAGCGTGATTTTCTCGCGCTGACAGCTTGTATACACTTGTATGTGTGTGTGTGTGTGTGTATACCTCGAGTTTCTCCGCGCTCGATGAACTGCTATATGCACAGTTTTTGGACACAAATGAGATGTTCCTCATAGATAACGTAAACGTACGCGCGAGCTTTAAGGTACCCCACGTTTGTAAAGCGTATATGACCAGCCGAAGAAAAACACGTCGGCATACAAAATCGCAGCTATCTCTCTCTTTTTCTCTCCGCACGAGCTCGCGGAGAGAAAGAGCAAAAGTCGGAAAAAAAGAAGGAAGACAAGTCGAGAAAAGAGTAAAAAAAAAAAGGAGAAGAAGTCAAGAAGAGGCCCCGACGACGTGCACCAATGCTGCAACCGTGAAGTAATCCCTTATTATTTTCGCCTCGTATTATTCGGGGCAGTATATGTGTGTGTACGCGCCAGGGCCCTTTGTTTCAAACCGGTCCTTTGGCTTCTTATTATTGAGATTAGTTTCTCTGCTTTCTGCTCTGCCCTGTGTGCAGCGCCAAACTCTCGAAAGATGTATCATTAATGCGCGCGTGTGTATACTGCGCGACTTTCGGATATGTGTGTACTATATATATAGTGTCTGCTGCTGCTTCTCGTGCGCCGTAAAAATTTAAAGAGACCCGATCTCGGAGCTTCGTCTATATATATGTGTGATACGTTGTTAGAAGAAATTTTAAATTTATAACGCAGATATAGTAGTAAAGTCAGATTATACAATTAAAGTAACTAAATACCGATTTTTATTCAAGGTACTTTTACTTGAAATCTTCTTTGCATAAAGTGCATAAAAAATTTACGAATATCACATACGTTATTTTTAATGCAAAAACAAACCTGAAAGATTCAACCCCACACTTTTAAATTTAAATACTGCGATTGAAGTTGCTCAAAAAATTCATGAAAATTCAATCGTGAATATAGCCAGACTTCGTCGCTAGATGGCGAGTATCTTTATCTGTGAATCCGTAAGTGATAATGTAAAAATAACTGTATAAGTCGAAGCTACGATTATAATTAGAACGTATCAATAATAATGTTTAATTTGTTAAATTTTAAAAATAAAACTATGATCAACGATTTGTTTAATAAAAGCAAAAAACTTGATGTGATTACGTTTAATTATTAAAACAGTGTATTTAAGGCATCCCGAAGAAATTGACTTTCTCGAGCCCATAAGATGGGAACAAAAACATAAAAAAAAATTTCTAGAGCATAACTATACAGGCGGCAGGTGAATTTAGTGGTATTTATTATTTGGCGCATGTCATCGGGCGTGTGCAGCGTCATTAGAGTTTATAATAATTTTTGCACCGAAAGTCAGCTAGAAGACCAGCATCAGCAGTAAACCGCATCGAATACGCGGCGCGACTTTCGAGTTCTCTTGTTCGCCTCGCGCGCCCAGTCGTCGTTGTAGTCGTCGCCTTTCGTCACGGTTTTCCCTCGTTAAAAAAAAAAAAGATCACGACGAGAAGGTAGGTACTTTTTAAAAAATTGAATGCAGGCCGGCCTTAATATACCGGTATTTTCATAATGTATACTTACGAGCCTAGGCGAGCGTTAGGCTCGTTTAATTTAGCGTTCGGAAAGTCGTAAATTTCTATTCCTCTTTGGCATTAATAGTCTCTTTCTCTCTCTCTCTCTCGAGCCTAGTTCGTTGTTTCGCGCGTGCACATAAGCTCGTATACTACTACTACTACGTGTAGCTTGTCAAAGTTGCAATGCGGCCTAGCGTACGTCGATTTTTTGCTGCCGCGTGCGCGTTCGAGTGTACTTAGAAGAGAGACCGCGTCCCGATCGCTTTTTCAGGATAACGAGGATTAATTAATGTTTACATAGTCGAAATCTGAATTACGAGCAAGAGTAGAGCGTCGAAGGCATTTCTCAGTCAGTCGGAGTACATACTGCGCGTCGCGGCGGAGCTATTGCTGAATCTTTCATATAGAAATACGGAGACGGTCGCGTGGAGAGCACATCCATCACGACACTGCAATGAAATTCCAGGTACATATAAGATCTACGCTACAGCAACGTCGCGATCGTCGTTGTAAGCACCGCAGAGTCTGTCAAAGCTTATATAGCTCGAGCTCGTAACGTGTATTCACTGGGCACGTGGCCGCGAGAAATCAAATGCATCGTTTTATTTGCGAGCTTGAAAAAGCAGCAACAACAGCACACTGCAACATCAGCAGCAACAATAACGAGCCGAGAGAATAAAAGCTGCTAAACATCGTCGTCGTGTCATCGAGTTTCATACATATATAGCGTGTGCAGTGATACTATACAACTACACGTATAGCCACATACTCCGCGCGCGTTCAAATAGTTTAGCGCGCAGAAAAAGGTCTGTAACGTAAATTACGCATTGTGTATGTAACATTTTACTCCTAAGCCACGTAGGTATATGTATAAATACGTGTATGACGGATGTCATGCTCCACAATGTGTTTGTGTGTGCGGTGTGTGCAGGTACGTGGGTGGGTGTGCGCGAGCTGTACCCGATGACTCTCGTAGTTACATATTATAAATGCATCTCTGGCCATAATACACGCGTGTACGTACGCATATATGTAGAGCGTCGAGTGATGTCACACACCAGCATAATTATGAATGTACACACACAGGCTGCTTGGGATATAATGCATATAATACATCAGGTGCGCGCAGTGCTGATATCTACGTTCTCTCGAGTTCTTATTACGTATGTATATGAATATGTACGCGTTCGACACGCATGGCGAATCGCGCCCTTATACGCGCGGAACCTCCGCCGAGCAAAGGCGTCCGTTCTCACGCTTCCCTTTTACCACGATCATGCATGCACGAGTGTATATGATGTATACTGCGGGCGAAAATCCTAGGGCTCAATTATCGCGCAGCGTTTTATGAAGCAATCGCGGACCCGTAATTTCCAGCATTAGGCGCGTACGTAGGTACGCGGCTCTGCCGTATAAGTTATATGGCAGAGCTCTGCGAGTACAATGAACAGTGTATAATACACACAGCATTATTTGCTCGACGACGACGTTGATGAGCTTGCGATGAGCGAGCTGCGAGCTACTGCAATTTTCTAATCGTATTCTCGCTAACGACTCGCGCGCGCCTGTCTCAGCCGTGTACACTGTACACGGCATATAATCGATCGAGAATACACGATGATGATGGACGCGTATGATGGTGTGTTTACACGATCTATATGTGTACACGCGAAGCAGCGCAAGTCTAATAATGGCATTACACTGGAGTCTAATTACGCCGTTGACGACGGGGGCCTATATAACAATCAGGTGCGCCTATATGGCGCGATTTTTCCAGGTTATTCGCAAGCTGGATATCCTATAAAGTTCAAAGTACCGCGCGCAAAGTGCAGTGTATCCGCGATCTTCTTTTCGTAGTATATATACGAGCATACTACGATACGTAAGTGTAATAGGTCGAGCGATCGTAGAGCTCGTGCGAGCGTCCATGTATACATGCCGATCGTCAAACGTTCACTAATGATGCATTAGCGAAGAAAGAAAATAACGGAGAAAAAACGTTACGATGATACATTTTACCATAAAGGTGTCTCTCCTCATTACGAATTCGAAAGAAAAGCCGGTAACGCACATTGCGAATACAAGCGCAACGTCATACGCGCGGAGAGGGGTGCATGCAGCAAGTACGTGCAACGGTCGCTAATTACCATTTTTGTATATATATACGCAATGGAATCGGCCGTATACCCACCGTTACCGTACTTATTATTATACTTGATATATATGTATTTTAAGCGAGGCCACGCGGGGTGCAGGTGCTATACTTGTTGAGCGCGCGAAAATTAACTCACCGAGCACGGAGTGCGTGACGAGGCTCGCGGCCGAAGAAGCCGCTACTGTCCCGACCGCGCGAAGATGATGATGATGCTTCGCGCTAGCGCTGCTGCTGCATCTCATGAATCTGTCCGGGGGCGCCATTTAGCATCTGTGTGTGTGATGCGCGTGGGTGTGTTTATAACTGCACTGCCTAATTTTTCAACCGGCCATGTAATAATCCACAATTGTGACACTTGATCAAGTATGATTTTGATACACATACACACACTTTCTTGATTTACACTCTGATTTGGATTTTAAAAACTCGTCGATTCACCAAACTGTGCCACAGACAATTTCACTCTCACAACGCACTCGTATCGTCGTCGTTATCGTTGTCGTCGTCGTCTTCGTCGTTGTCATCGTCGTTGACAATTCGTTTTGTCGTTTTATACTTCTATATATCGATGTGAAAAAATGTCGTCGCGTTGCAGGGGGTAGATCGTTACACGAAAAATCGGTAAATTATCGACGTCGATCGAGCTCGTTCGTTGGCGCATGTCGCCGCCACCGCTCGTCCACCAAAATTTATAACAAAATCAATAAAAAACTCATACATATGACATTTGAAACATGTATAACGATGTATAACGCGTGTCGTTCAGTCGCGGACGGCCGCAGCAGACATCGCTGCTACTCGCTCAACTCGCCGAGTCGTACTGGTGGCTGCTGCTACTCTATTCGCACAAGGCAACGATGATTGAACTCGAGAGCTGCTCGTGTGCTGCATACACATACAGACGCGTACACTTGTAGAGAGAGAGAGAGCCCCTGCCACTCGGCGCGGCAGGCTCACACACACGTACATAGACAGTCAGGCAGTCTTTAAACTCGTGGGAGAACTCGGCAGTCGGGAATGCCGCTTATGTGTGTGTGTGTGTGTGTGTGTGTGTGCAGCAGGTACGGCCATAAGACTCGTCGGTGCCCCCCTCCCTCTCCTCGTCGCGCTCTCTTCTCTCCTCTCCTTCGCCTTCTTCTTCTTCTCTTTCACCGATTCTTTTTTCTTGATAAACGGCATGGGGCCCGCTATATACAACGACTGCATGTATAGGCACTTGCCCTCTTGTATATCGTAGCACCTTCTCTGGCGTCGATATTTCGGCACTAAGCGCGCAGAATATAGATCGCATCGAAGATCGACACGCGTGTCCGTCTATTTAAAAGATTTCGAGATCTTGCGCCTGGTGCATCGAACGGGATGCTCGTACAGCTCTCTAGTTCCGTTCGAATCTATCTCGCTATTATACCCCCTCGTGTACTATAATGCACTTGTCAAGACGTCGGACTTTCGATATCGCTCCGCGCACTTTCCGGCTTGCGCGCGCGCTCGAGTTTAATACTCGTGTAGACGTATATCGATTATCGTAACATTTTGACACGTTCGATTGATAAAAAAGTTAAAAAAAAAAAAGTCAAGCCCGAGTGACAGCTACTCCAAAGCGATCTATGTGTACACCGTGCTCGCACACGCGCGCGCTACTCCTTTCGAGCCGAGCTGTTATCGCAGCTATATAGAACCAGTGGTTTACTACGCTTCCGCGACAGCTTTTTCCGCGTGCCGCATTCGATTGTATATCTATCCTATATAGCAGCGATCGAGCATAGACAATTGGAAGATATTGCGTCTGTGGGTTAAAGCGTAATACATAGACTACGCTGAGCGATGAATCATTATCGACGTTTGTACACAAAAATATAAATTGCCCAATGTATATATGTGTACCGTCGAGCGTACGATGTTTCGTGGTACTATAAATCGACGTTTATGCGAATGACCTAATTATTAATTGTAACATTCTGTATACCGATCGATCGTCGTAGATCCATCATCTTATCGCGCGCATCGACTGACGTGTTCCAGTGGAGCCTAAACCGTGTATGTTCACACTCGTTTCTGCTTGTCACCTGCATTCACGTACACACACACACACACACACACAAATACTCGAGTATAAAGCACGGGTTGATATATAAAATGAAAAAATGCTGCATTTTAACGATACGGTCATGCGTGCGAATTTAATGAACGCAACAGTAACGACGCTCGGGTGTTTGTGCACCGCGCACACTGCGTTACACCCGCGAGAGACAGAGAGAAAAAGAGAGCAGAGCGTATAGTATATATTGTTTACGATCCGGGCGTTGTTGCGTACCGCTGCCGCGCTGTTGCTTCGTATATATAAGGCTCTAACAAGTGCCTCTCGTGTGGCGTATCTGCACTTTTTTTTTTTAAATTTTAAAATACGTTAGACCATATTACGTATATTGTACTTGAGCGCGCGATATCTAGCGGTCTGCGAAGCGTGAACGAATTACGAGTTCGCAGCTACTACCACCGGGCGCGTATGCGTTATTATAATAGCCGCACACACGAGCGGTGCACCTCCGTAGTAGCTCGAGTTCAACGCTTGCGACTTGTTATTATTTTTTAATCTTCGAACTACATCGACTCTGTGTGTCTGTGCGTGTGTGTGTGTGTGTATCATGCGCTACACCGCATATAAGGTGCACAAGGCAGATAAGCGTATACATATAGAGGAACTTCCTCGTTCATCTCGGAAGTCGCAGAGACTCTGCCGTAGAGATAACGATGTATTGGACGAAAAATGACTCGAAGCTTTTATATGATATATAGAATCTGTGTATATACGTTTTATATAGAATACGTTCATTCATGCAACTGTCCGTACTGTGGAAACTTTTCATTAACGAGCAGAGTGTGTGTATATATCTGTCTCCTCTGCCTGTCTCTCTCTCTCTCTCCATTCTGCATACCCCGCGAGCGATAAACTCTTCGATGACACTCGACTCGCTCGGCCGTGCATACAGCTGTATATAGTTGTGTGTGGAGCTTCGCAGCGGCGCATCTCGGAGCGCTATTTTTATATACATCGTGCTCGCTTAGGCGCGCGCGATACGATTCATTGCCTTTTGCAAACATACACGTTACTATTACTACTACAACTACTACTACAGTGCACCGAACGGAGAACGAACGAGAAAAGTAAAATAAAAAATTCACGATCGTCGTGCGGTCTCGCTCGACGTATAGAGCTACGTGTGCATGACGACTGCCGCTCGCGTGTTTATAGTGTAATCCTATATAGGATGGAAGGAAGATGTGGCGACGACGATGAGGAGGACACTATATTGCAAAGGGAGCAACGACACAACAAAAAAATTGAGAGGAAAGGAAAGATGCTGCGTTCCGGCCTGGCGTGCAACTCATTCGTCGCTTAAGCGGATATGCACTCGTACAACGACCAACGATGATTTCGCGTTTGTTCAACGGTTGAACATTTTGCGTACGCTAATAAGTTTAATATTTGTATTCTACTTGAGGTCGGTCGGCACGGCATTGCTTCACACTGGACTATTGCGTGCACATGCGAGAATAATTTTTTCTGCAAATATAACATATTGCTGCTGCTGAACTAAAAATTCAAGCAAAGTACTGAAAGTACTTTCATAACTTGGACCACAATGTGATGTCCAGTAGATCTTGGATTTTTACTTGTTAAAAAATTAACAATATAATTACATTGATATCATAAAATTTATCTTGGATCCAGGATTAATGCACAAGATTTGACCTATATACAGATATTTAATTAATAATTTGCCTTGATCTTGATCCACATTAAATTGAAGCTTTGTATTTTTCAAGCATAATATGTTAGTATTTTAATTAAATTTCATTCAGTAACAGCAGTACTCATCTTTCTCTCTCCTTTTTAAATAAACGTATTCTAATAAATCGTCCAGCTAAAGTCTACTAGATTGAATGTTTTGGAACAAAAGTCCATTAAAAGTACTTGAAATTTACAAATAATTATTTACAGCTCACGACTGTAAGCGGTTTTGTTTCTGATAGCACGACTACGAAAATATAATTATTATTTATCTACCGAGAGTCTCATCCTACTTTACTCGCGTGCTAATGCGCGCTAATTTCGTGCCGCCTTTTATTGCCCGATTATATACTTGTGTATTAAATGTAATATATTCGTGGGGTCTTCGTGCGGAAAAAAATAAGCCGTAATCCGACTCGCGAGAAAATCGTATAAATGCGGATACTGCTGCTGCCGTGAGCACGAAAAAGTTTCCACGCAGCCGTTGTTGCTTCCTCGAGATAACTCGCTATAAAACGTCTGACCCGGCGAAGATAGACGAGAATTAGACGTTGCATTAAATAATTAAAGAAAGGGAGATGAGAAGACGGCGCAGAAAACTCGAGACAAAGATCTGCAATCTTGTTTCGTTTTTTATTATTCTTTGCAACGCGTGTTTATAGATGCTCATCGATCTCGAGTCTCAAGGCTCGAATGAGTGTGAGAAAAATTACGCACATATAGCATGTATAGCTCCACGCGGTCTCTCTCTCTCTCTCTCTCTTTGTGTCTCTTCGCAGCTCTACGAACTGTCCGGCGCTAATGAAGATGAGCTTAGCGTGTGTATGTGTGTTTATAATATAATATGCCCGGAGAGGATGAATCGATCGCGACGATCATCATCATCATCATCATCATCATCATCGCTGATTCATCGATCTGATATTCCGCGCCAAGAGATCGGAATACATAAATATACACACATAACGAGCCGCGCAAAGTTGTAATATTTTGTATACAGATCGTAGCTGTGTCGAGTGGATTTAGGCTAATCCCGCGCAACGATCGAATCGCGCGAAAGGATATATCATAACGTTTTAATAATCTTCGCGCGGCGAAACAATCGTTTCGCTGGAAGCGAAACCAAAATACGAGAATATCTCGGAAGAAATAGTACCATAAAAGCGGCTACCACACACGAGCTCGACATTACGAGCCCGAAAAGTCAAATAAAATAAAAAAATTGAATAAATAATGAAATATCATCACGTATTATGGTGTAACGAGTCAAGCACATCCGTATAACACACTATACCCGCCTCTCGCATTGTGCGATATACGCGCTGTATATGGTGCGATCGTACATAGGCGTTGTACCTACATGTGCGCGTATCGTGTGTGTCAAGGCTCGCCCGCGTGCAGCCGGCCGCGCGAGCGAGAACACGTTCCCTCCGTGCAATACCACTACTACTAGTACTAAAGTATATGTGCGAGAGCGAAAAAGGAGTTGAAACGCATCGTCTCGTCGCACCACATCCGCTCGCCTTTTAGCTTCCGCTAGCTTGACTCTGCTACACGCCGTGCGTGTGTCTGAGCGTGTGCGTGTGTGCGAGTGCCTCTATATACGTGTAATAATGCATATACCTGCCGACGAGGTAAAAACCGATGGCCACTCGATACTCGCGCGTACTCTTGACCGATAATTGCGAGCACACACATAGCTACCCTCGATCTTCATTGTGATTTTGGTAGTTTCTTACGGGGGTGTTGCCACGTCGTCCAAACGCGCCGCTGCTCCGAGATGCTTATTAACTATATATAGTCGGTTCGGCTGCAGCAGGTTTATAAACTGTGCAGCGTAAGCGTGTACGTGTGCGTATGCGTGCGTACACAAGCAACAGCAGCAGCAGCTCGAGCGGATACTCGTGGGCGGACCTGCAGCGGCAGCGGACCTCGAGAGCGCTCGATGTATATATAATAATT